AGCAGAGACTATGGAGAAGATTTGGCTATAAGTATATCCTTTCAAGCGTTTTCTAAGTGTCAGTGTCTTTCAAGTACAAGTATTGCACTCGTTCGAATTTGTGAAACCAGATTTGCTCGACATAAGCGCCCCCTCCTCTTGCTTCTAGTCTCCTAAGGAGACAATTCAAGCAGGGATGGTTTCATGGTATTTGGGCATCTGATGCGGATTTGATGCAGGTCCGCATCTCTGAGTTGGGCAGAACAACGCGTTCGGGTAACAGCTAAATATACCACTGCCCGTAGACAAAGGTATGAATAAATCGTAACCTCGACATCCCGTGCTTGCGACCCAGAATACTTTCGAATCACGCTGGTTATCATAACATTTCGATTTGTGATACCAGGTTTATTAGAGTAAGCGCACCACTCACTTACTTCCAGTCGTTTAGGGGCACCGTTAATGCTGTATTACCGTTTCAATCGTTTTATCATAAATAAATTTATGTTTTATTGACTTACGCTCATATAAAATCGATCGAATTCTTTTCTCGATAGATGAACACGCTTACCTTCGATTATTTGGACGATTAAGTCAGACCTATGGAAGTCATACTGTAAGCGCAGACGTATTTGGCCCACACCGGAGTCGGTGGAGCCGCTCTTGACCAGCACTGATCCTTTACGAATGTAAAGTTCCGACTTGATTGCTCCTTAATAAGAAAGAAAACAGACAATGTGACTATAAGAAACGGAACACATGACGACACGGGGTCTCCCTTACCGATGTAGTGTTTCGCGCAGCTTCGACGTTTGTCTGGCGAGGGTTGTCTAGGGGCACGACTGACGGCTTCGCAGTTACTGCTATCGATGGCGGCCGAATGTTGAGGAACGCTGCTGATGGTCATCGAGGACCTCTTGGACGACGACGGACTGGCTCGGTCGACAGACGAACCCCGCCTTCGCCATCCACCAATGATTGGGTTCAACGGCAAGGACATCTGCAATCAACGAATAAATTAGTTCAGCTAACCTCAGACCAAATTCTCTCGCCTCTTCACCGACCTTACTCAAAAATAAGTGATTACCATGAACAACTGTCCCAAAACCAATAAACGACAAACAGCGTATTGCATGAGAAGTTATTCGTTTTTGACGCAGGATGGGTACTCCCATTTCGTT